TGGAGGTCCCACAGAAGCAGGTTCTCCTGACGGGAATGGGGCCTGTGGAGGCTCCACAGGAGGAGGAGGGAGAACACCTGTTACGCCCTGACTGCCTCCAAATTTCTGATCCCCCAGCACCCCTGGAGGGAAGGTTGATCCATCAGGAGTGAAGGTGGAAAGTTGAGCCCTGGGAAAAAGGGGGTGGGTGAGGGTAAGGGGTTGTGTTAGTTTTGTCTTTGTTTCTCATTATCCAAATCAATTTTAATTGGCAATAAATCAAACCAGTTTTCCCCAGGTCACAGTCTGCTTTCCTGTCACAGTGATTGGTAAGGGAACACTGTATTTTTATATCAGCCCATCAACTTTTTTATCTTATTTCCCCCCTGTCCTGTGTGGGGAGGGGGAGAGACAGCACAGCGAGTAAACATCTGGCAGCTGACTGTGGTCAGCCCACCACGGCAGCAAACATCCATTTCTGCTACCCTAAGTATTCTTGGTGCCAGAAATGCTTGGCACAACCCCTGTGGCGTGGCTCGTGGAAAGCCAGATGACTGTTGTTCATAAAAAACTGGGATAGAAGTTGTTTCTCTTAAGGTTTCCGAGCTCCCTTGGCTGTGCTCTGGTTCTGTGGTGTCTGTGCCATCCGTGGGTGTAAGACATGTGGTGACATGGTAGAAACAGCCACATTTGAGTGAATGCAAGGGTGAACCTTTCCCTGGCCAAGAGGTACCCAGGGCAACAAACCTTTGTTTTAACAGGAATAGTAACTTTAATTTTTTTTTTTTATAGATATGGGAACTGTTCACAATGCTGGTGTGGCTATGTGCTCTCCCTCTGCTCACTGGAAAAGAGGTTTTTTCCATGGTCAAACCTGTGTCTCTGGGACTGTACCCCTTCTTGTTGTTGCTTTTGCTTCCTTCTTCTCCTGAGAGGAGGGTTGGGAATTGAGGGGATTTAACCCCAGTTAGTGCCTGGCATGTTGCAAAGGTAGGCAGCAAATCCAGGACCAGACTCAGGACCTGGGAAGTTGTAGTAGTGAGACAGGGCAGAGGTATTTCAGGGCAAGGGAAGCTTTAGGATCTGTATGAGTGGGAGTTCAGATGTTTTCCCACAGAGGGTTTGGAGTGGTTTCCATTGCTGTTCCATGTGGGATATCTGCATTTTTAATCCTGTTCACTGGAGCTTACTGGAGGGGTTCACGTGTTTTGTGCAGCGTTGAGCGGTGGCCAAGCAGCTTTCATTCAGTGGTCCAGTTCCAGCAAGGGATTCCTGTGCTGGTGCCATCACTAAAGTAGGAAAAACGTGGCTTGGATATTCCATGAGGTTTCTGATGTTGTAGTATTTCAGAATTGCATTGCTTCCAGGAAAAGGTTCATCCTGACTTTTCTTTGAATGCCTCCCTGAAGAGACTGAACTCGCTGGGAGTGCGTTGCCAATTCCTGGCAGATGGGGCTGGTGAAGATGACAGTGACATGTGCAGGGACACTTCACTGGAATTTCCTCTTTCCCTCTCTGCCATGTACTCTGATGTATTTGGAGTCCCAGGACTTGGAAAATGAAGACGTGATTCCTGGTATTCTGCACATACTTTGTGGTAACTTTATTAATGTTGGAAGTTTATTTGTGGTCACTAAACCCTCAGTTATTTAAGTCAGATTTAATCATGGTTTGGGAGCAAAATTTCAGCCTTCCTGGAATCAGTGGTAAAACCACCATGGCCACTGGGATGAGATTTGCCTTGCGGTGCTTTAACAAATGTGTCTCCTAAAAAAGCTTTCTGCTCCTAATTGCATTCCTTTGTTCTTTTTTCCCCTCAGTCTTGTGAAGAAAACAATCTGAAGACAATGCATCTGTGACCCCTGATCCCAGTTTGCGAGCCAGGGCGATGGAAGTTGTAGAGCATACTGCTCCCGTGACAGTTCCCAATGGATATGCCAACAGGGTTTTCCAAGGAAACATGGAGGAAGGGAGCACTGATGCGCTGGAGGCCTGCGGTGCCGAGCGCTGCACCTCCAGTGACGCCATCCCCAGCGAGCGGGAGGAGCCACCCAGGTATAAGAAGATGACCAAGGGCAGCCGGATCTGGAACTTCGTCAGACGAAGGAAAGGACTCTCCACGAGTAAAGATAGACCTCAGTCCATGATCCTGCTGGGAGTGGCCTCTGAGGCGCCGGAATTGAAAAAGCCATCCTTCATGGAGAGGGTACGGTCGTCGAAAAAGGGAAGATCTTCCAGGACGCCCAAGAACGTGGATTTGAGAGCATCCAGAGGGCAGGTGGCGTGTGACCCCGAGGAGGAGCCCCCTGCCAGCGGGCAGAGAGCTGTGTACAGGGTGAAGAAGCTGGGGGACGGTCGGAGGCCCTCCCGCCACTCGTACGCTGGGTACATCGAGGATTTGGATTCCTCTTTTGAAGACATAGAGCTGAACATCAGCATTCCTGAACTTGATGCCACTGAAAGCAAATGTCTCAGGGATATTAATGTCAGATTACACAGTGAGGATAATGATGGTAACTGCCACAGAATTGCAGCCAGAAAGAGCGAGTCTTTGAATTTTGAAAACCTGAAGAGTCCCGCAACTGCAGAAGGGGACAGTCAAAAGAGGTGTGCTGTACTCCCACAGGAGAGCAGGAGAGGAAGAAGTTCTGATGTCTGGAGCTACCTGAAAGGGATTTCATTAACTAGCAAAGATAATTCAAAGCTTCTAGATCAAAGGCCTGAAACCAATTTCCAGAACTTAGAAAATACAACTGATCATTCCGCTTCTTACTTTGACTTTGATACGAGATGTGAGGAGAATCCCAGCCAGCGGAAAAAAACCAACGGTGCCTCCAAGGCCACTCACTTTGGGGGGGTTGTGAGGTTCCTGAGCAGCGTGGCCGAGGCAGCTCGGAGGCTGCGAGGCTCCTCCAGGGCATTTTCCCCCGATGAGAAGAGGCCCCAGCGGAGTTTCCGAGGCTGGAGGCCGGATGTTGCCTCGCACAGGGAGGGCTTGGTTATCGAGAACGAGAGCGCCAAGGCCTTCTGCACGGTGGGGGCATGTCTGCAGTCCCCGGACTCGGGCACCTGGGAGAACCTGAGCTTTGAGAGTTTGGTGGGGAAGGAGCCCATGCAGCACTGCAGAGCCACAGAAGGGTCCAAAGATATTGGTTCCTCTGCCCTGGGCAGTGGGAATGACAGGCTTAATGGAACATCACCTTCTCCCTTTGTGCCAGAACCATCCCTCTCCCACCTGCCAGAGCTTGCAGGTGGCTCTTTCACTGAGCTAAACAGCAAAGACCCCTCTGAGGATCTGATTGAAGTTCCCCAGACGACTCTGACTGACACAGTTCAGGACTTGGGCAGTACTTCAGAAAGGACACAGGTCATGGGCAGGGACCTGCCACCTTCTCAGGATCTTCCTAGAGATGCTGTGGACCTGGGCCATTCTCCAGCTGCCAGTGGTGACTTTCCTGCAGAAACTGAGGCTCAGATCCACCCTCCACTGGCTTTGCCAACTGAAATTGATACTGAGGCCCTGGGTTGTGCTCCAGTGGTTGCTAAAGACATGGATCCATCTCCAGCAGTGGCTCAGGAGCTTTCAAAGGCAGAACTGGATATTCAGGAGTTAAGAAGTCCTGAGCTGCCTTTGCAAAACTTGTCTGGAGGTGAGCTGGGGACTCAAGACACTGGCACTACCCTGGAGAGGGCTGTGGGCAGGGACCTGCCACCTTCTCAGGATCTTGCTGTCAGTACTCTGGACTCTGCAGACCTGGGCTGTTCTCCAGCTGCTGATGGTGACTCCTCTGCAGTGACTGAGGCTCAGATCCACCTTCCACAGACATCGCCGACTAAACTTGATACTGAGGACGTGGCTTGTGCCCCAGTGATTGCTAAAGACATGGATCCATCTCCAGCAGCGGCTCAGGAGCCTTCAAAGGCAGTGCTGCATAATCAGGACTTGAGAAATCCTGAGCTGCCTTTGCAAGACTTGTCTGAGGGTGAGCTGGGGGTTCAGGACTTGGGCAGTACTCTGGAGAAGACACAGGTTGTGGGCAGGGATGTGCCACCTTCTCAAGATCTTCCTGTGAATAAGCTGGATACTGTGGACTTGGGCCATTCTCCAGCTGCCAATGGCGACTTTTCTGCAGTGACTGAGACTCTGATCCACCTTCCAGAGACAACCCCAACTGAGGAGATTCAAGACACTGTGAGTACCCTGGAGAAGAGTCAGGTCATGGGCAGGGACCTGCCGCCTTCTCAGGATCTTCCTGTGAATGCCCTGGACACTGCAGACCTGGGCTGTTCTGCAGTTGCTGACGTTGACTTCTCTGTAGTGACTTTCTTGAAGTGTTCCACAGTGAAAAGGCAGGTTTTGGAGCAGACTGATGGCCGCTTTAGGAAGCGGGGAACCACTTCATTTGTAGAGCAGAACTCAGTAGAGCTCACAGAAGGAGTGGAAGGGTTTAACTGCAGCTCCGAGTGCCGGCCCTTCCAAGTGCACGTCTCCAGGATTGTCTCCTCCGGGCGGCTCAAAAACGGAAAGGTAGGAGTAACTTCGGGTAACATGAGTGACATTTACTGTAATACCTGCAATGAGACCACACTGTTGTACATCTTAGGAAGCTGGTTTGTATGGGAAAGCATTTTTATACATCCTTGTTGGGCTTTTCAGGTCAGCAGATCGTTCTGTGGATGGTGGCAGTAGACACAGCTTTATGTCAGAGTTACCTGGCATATCCCTGAGCTCTTGGTTAAACCTCCAGAGCTGCTTCTCCTGCAGCCCTTTGGCCATTGGCGTGTATCGGTGCCTCTAGAGGGCGGAGCAGAAGTTATTTGTAGGCACTACCTTTAATTTTTTTCCTCTTTGCATTTAGTGCATTTGAAGTAGAAGCTCCTGAGAAGAGTGGTTTTGGCAATTGGAGAGTTTTGAACTGTGCTGTGGACAAACAGCATTCAGCAGTTGCACCGTGGCCCCTGTGGTTTCTTACTAAAATGATAGTAGAGGTGGTAGGTTTTGGTTTTTACTGGATGATGCTGGTTACAACACAGCATCCAGAATGGGCTGTCAGAGTCCTGGCATGGAGTGCAAGAACAGAAAAATAAAAACACGTCTTGAAGAGCTCACTGGATCATTGCTCTGGCAGATCTACTGAGCTTCGTCCCTGCTCCAAACCTGTCAGAAGTTGTGTGGCATCAATAGTTTGTGCTGAGCCTGTAGTGGAATGCCTTGCTAAGGATCTGGGTGGACAGTATTATCAAAATACCTTCTTAACGTGCCTCTATGCTGAGAGGGGTCTGGTCAGGGCTGCCCTGCATCTGTCTGTACACAAAATGATGTTTCCTTTTGGGATGGTAAATACCCAGCCCTGAATGAGAGGTGGGCAGTGGTGGTGGTTTTAATCAGGGCAGGACATTCCTGTTTGGTACAAGCAAGTCTTTCAAAGCCCTTAAAATTGTCAAAACATTTAAGTGGGCATTGTATTTTGCGATAGGTTCTGTGTGTTACAAATCTGCTTAATGCTGGGAAACCTCAGAAATCCTGTGGGTAGGGGAGAGATGCATGGCATGAGAAAAGGCCTCCTGAAGCTGACAGACTGATCCCATCGCTTGAGCACCTGCACAAGTGTATCTGTGGAGCAGAAACTGTGAGCACTGACAGTCCTATCGGCTGTGCCACTCTCTGTCACTCTGTGCCAGTTGTGGAATTGAGGAAAAACCATGGCATCACCCAGTGTGATCAGCTCAGCTGGTTCCCTTCTGATGAGCTGAGGCTGAAATGAAGGTGCCAGGTAGGGAAATTGGGTCAGTTTGTGAAGAAACTTCTTCCTTTCCTCTTGGGCTTGGAGAGACCAGAGATATTCCAGAGGTGATGACACTGTTCCCTGTTGGAAAAGGGGTCACTGTAGCTTCTGAGCCAAGAGGGGAAGTGTTTGAAAATTGGCAGCAGATTAGAAATGACGGGGGGAAAAAAATCTGAACTTCTGACTCTCAGCTAAAACAGGCAGGAGCATTGTTAGTTATTCCTGGATTTGTTTTTCTTCTCCATTTTGTGTAATACAACCGGTTACGGACAGCTCACTGTAATTCCAGGCACTCCAGAGGTGGGGTGAGCAGTGGTTGCTCACTTCTTGTGGTCTCTGGAAGAGCCTCTTGAGAGGGCTGTGGTTTGACATCCCTTCACAGGGACTAAGCAAGAAAAGAGGCATGAAAGGATTGAGGAGAACAGTGTCCCCTTTTCCCAGGGCAGCCACATCTCCACTGGCTGAGGGCAGTGGCTGCACGTGTGATCCCAGGGCAGAATCCCAGCTCAGCTGTGTGAACAGGAGATGCTGTAAGTCCCAACTCAGCTGTTGCAGGTTACAAACACTACCAAGAAGCTTAAATGTGGTGCTTGAGATAACTGGGCAGGAAACCTCCCCCACGTTCCCGTCAAGTGTGGCGATAGCAGCGCGACCTCCAGGCTGCCAGCGCTTCCTCCCCGGGCAGGAGGGTGGGAGAGAGAGCAGAGAGCCCCCCTCCTGGGTTGTAAACACCTTCTGCATCCCAGAAATTCACCCTGCAGATCTGGAAATGCATTGTCAGCAGCAGCAAACCCAGAGCAGTCAAAGTGAGGCTAAAGGAAGGATGCTCCGGGACGGGAACAGACCTGGAGAGTCCTCCAGCAGCTCCAGTAACAACTGACCTGAGATCTCCCGGGGATCTGCTCGCCTATCTCTCATCAGGGAGCGGCACTCGGAAATGTTTGACCAAAAATAAACATGGAAGAGGAGGAACTTCAGCCCGAGCGTGACAGTGGCAGCAAACTCCAGCCTCTTATTGTTTTAGGGCTAAATCCAGCTCTTTGCTGGCACCTGTTCCCCAGGACAGTTGCTGGCCCTGCTGCCTCCAGGCCGCTCTGATTAACTGAAGGGTTAGTGTTTCAAGGGAAATGCTCAACCTCAAGCAGGGAGAAGGTGTTGCCAGGCCAGGGTGGCTTGGCTTGGCCTGGCCAGCTGCTGTAGTTCCCCAGCAGTTTTACAGGGTGCCAGCAGTGTAGGGAAGAAAGTATTTCCCAAACAGCTTCCACATTGTCCCACAAGAAGCACAAAAGCACTGAGGCTCCTGCCCAGATCCGTGAGGAGCTGCTGTGAGAGGCTGAGGCTGGTGTAGCACCAGGGGTGATGGAGTGGCACGTGGGGGACCTGCATGTTGGTTCTGGCAGTAAGTACATCTGTTTAGTTGTACTCTCCTGCAGTTAATGTCCCTGTTTCTTGCTTTCCTGGCCTTGCCTTTTAAAATTGTAATTCTTGGGGCAGGAGCTGACCGATTTTATGGGCAAGTAACAGCTGAGCAGGATTTGATCTCAGTGCTGTAAAGGAAATAGCATTGCAACAGCATGAGCAGCTGTAGAAAGGTAGAACCCACTTATTTCTCAAACTGTCCCCCTGACAGTTGCTTTCAGACCCCATCCCAAATTCTCCTGTGCTCCAGGAACTTGTGAAACAATGACGATAAAATGTTTTGAAGAATTGGAAGAACAAGAAAGGTCAAATAGATTGTTAATGGGAAGTGAATTACTCCATTCACACTGCTGCGTCTCTGGAATGAAAGTGCCTTCCTTGTTTTGAGAGAGAGGAGAAATGGAGTAAAAGATGAGATGGAGGCTTTATTAAGTTGTGGACAGTTGCAAACTCTAGAAAATCTCCATTTTCCTCATCTCCACTGAAGGGAATTATCCTCATCTTGCCCCTAAAGCATCCCAGCAGGGAGACTGCTGCAGGGAGTCAGGCACAGCCCCAGGAATTGTCTTGGGCCACTTACAGTAGCTTGAGATGATGTTGAGGTGTAAGGAAGCTTTGGTACCACATAGATGAGTTTGCAGTTCCAGCTCCCCATCAGAGTTTCAAACTACACACTGTGTCCTTGGACAAGGTCTGGGGGGGATTTGATACCTCCTTTGGAATGACATGAGGGAAGGTTGCAAGAATATGTGTCTGAATTCGTATTTCAGGTCTCAGTTGAGAGTTTTTAGGGCCCAGGAACAAGTGTCAGATTTATTGCTGGCAGAGAGATCGTCCCTGCTCGTCCCAGGGCCACCCACCGGGACTGAGCCCCGTGGATCCTTCGGGCTCGTGTCACCCTGGCAGTGACAGAGCAGAGGGCTTTCACCGCAGTCTGTCTGTGCCCTCTGCTGGCTTATTCGTGAAATGAGAGGAGATTTTTATGGAACAGCAAACCTTCTCTTTTTCCTTAGGATTTGAGGTTTATCTCCAGAAGGTGTGCAGGCTGCCGCTTGCTTCTGGCTGTTGTGGCTGCACACAGACACCAGTTGTGTTTGTGGGGTCATTCTCCGGGGGAATTAGGATTGCCAGAAGTGTGACAATGGGGTTTATACAGGCTTGCCATCCTGTGCAAGCCATGTGTGAAGAACAGGAGGAGGTGCCAGGCCAGTGGGATGCCCAGGTTTCCCAGACAGTTTGGTTTCAGGGCTCTGAGAGGGGCTGTGTGATCAAACTCACTCCTCAGCATCACAGCAGATGCTTCTCTTGAGCAGCTGTTGAGTTTTTCCCTCTTAGGAACCAACCTGTCCCAGTGCTCCCTGCTGAGGAGTGTGATGCTGCTCTGAGTGGCCCAGAGGCCGGGACAGGGTCGGTGCTTTCAGGGCATTAATAGGTTTTGTGGTTCCTGCCCTGTGTGCTCTGTGTGGGAAAGCGGGAGCCTCTCCCTGTGTGGTGGGTCTGACTGGAAGCACAGGATTACTGATTTGCCTGAGTGTGCACATGCCAGAGGATGGGTTTGCAGATCTGCTGCCTGATAGCTGGGGCATATCTCAGATCCTCCCACAGGTTTGGGGTTTTGCTTTAGTGCAGCTGTAAATGCCTTTCCATGAGAGGAAGATAGAGCAACTTTCCTTTTTCTGCGTTTGATGAGAAATTGCAGGAGATGCCCAGCAAGTTGACCTTTAGCTTGAGATTGTTTTCTTGTCTCTCTGCTGCAGAACGTGTTGGGAGCAGCTGCAGAGATGGGATTGCTGAGTTGATTTATCCCTTCCCTCCCACTCTTGAATGGCACTGACCAGGAAATGGGGTCTTGGAGAGTGGATCATCAGAGCTCTCTTCATCTCCTGGTTATTCAGTTCCTCAGTCTGCTGCTTACAAAAAGACTTTGTAGTCCTTCCAAATTAACAATCAGCACTTTACTTTCCAAATCCTGCTGTTGCCAAAAGAGCACTGTATTCCTGTCTGCAGCAAGGTGCAATTTACTTGCAGAATGAAGATTTGAGGTATTTATGGCTTTTAATATGGTTATGTCTGACAATCATCTTATTTTTAGAGAAGACAAAACCTCTAAAGCCTATCTCCAAGCTGTTCAGATTTTTGTATTTGTAATAACCATGGGGTGCTAGGAAAATCTTGAATTAAAGCCTATATTTAGTGCTATCTATAGTGGGTTAGGGTTTTTTTTTGGGAAACACATTTTTAGCATTGTCAGGAAAAGGCAGGTTGAGTTTGCAAAGCTGATAGGCTTTGCATGTATATATAACCAGCCACAGAACACATGGATAATTGAGATTTCCACATGTTTTACTTGTTGTGTCTCATTCCCAGGCTCCAAAGTTACAACAGGCCACCTCTGTGGTGCCAGAGTAGTGATGGGAATGGGGACCTCTGGGTCTGTGTGCCAGAGGGACTGTGTGTGCAGAACTTCCCTGGATGGAAGGTTTTCTTTGGCTTTTCCCTCCTGCCGGCTGTTACCCAGCCCAGAGGAGTGTCCTGGGTGATTGGATACAGTGCTGGGAGCAGGCAACGGGAGATGGAGCCTTCATTCATCCGCAGTTTCCCACTGTGCCTTTGGGGTACTTACAGCCTGTCTGCTTTAAATGAAAATAACAGCCCATCAGTGCAAACAGGCTGCTGGAGCCCTGGGACAGATCCACCAAACCCTCCCGGGCACCCCGTTATTAGCAGGGCCCTGGAAGTGTGACAGACGTGTCCCTGATTGAGGGCAGAAGCCTCCAAGAAGGAAACACCTCCTTTCTGCTTCTCCTGACCTTTGTCAAATGAGTTTTCGTCTGATTTCTTGACTCTGAGATTATACACAAGACTTCCACGGTGTCACATGTCACAGAGAATAAAATGAAAAGTAGGAGTTGGAATTGTGATGTTTTTAAAAAGGACATTCCATTCTGCAAAATGTCACAGTACAGTTGTCTTTTTCAGGAACTTTTCCTCCTGGAACAGAATAATAGAAGTTAGAGCGAGGAACCTTTCAACATTTTTCTCCAGTTAGCTCTCTATGCTAGTTCTTTGGGTTAATGTTACCAACTGTTAAGGCATAACTCAAGTATTTGACCACTTTATGGGTGTTTCCATCAACTGGAACTATTTTACTCATGCAAGTAATATTTGATAGACCAGTAATGCGTCTCGTTAGCTGATGTCATCAGTCAGCTCCAGAGAAACTGCTGTGATAATTCCTGCTTTCCTCTGTGAATCTCTGAGGATCAATAGTTGGTCCAGTTTTGCTAAAAGCGTACCTGGGTCTTTTCAGAGAAGGAGGTCTCAGTTTTCTTTGAAGTGCTGTGGTTTGCCCCGTCCTTGCGTTTGGACCACCTGCAGCGTGGCGAGGGCTGTAAGGTGTGTTCTCCCAGGAGATGAGGCACGCTGTAGTAACTGAAAAAAAGGACAAAACCAGCTGTGGTGGGTGCTACAGACATCGGAGAGAACATGGTGTTCGAGGGGTGTGTGGTGGGTGGCCCCTGTAACGGATGGTCAGAGCAAACTGCAGAGATTCCCCTCACGTGCCTGCCCCTGACCTGTACGTGACTCACCAGCTTTACCTGGGACCTGCCTGATGACCTGAAGTCTGGCTGACCCTGGCCACCATCTCCAGATCTGTCCTGGTCCTTTGCTCTGGTGGGGCTGGCGGGTGAGGCCCCATCCTGCCAACCAGTGTATGTCCTTGGCTGCTGTTTGCTGTCCCTTAGCAAGCAACCAGCCCTCGTTGCACATTTTGAAGCCAACCCCAGATGTTTTAGCTAGTCCTGGGTCCTCAGCACCAGCTAATTCCCTCCTGTGTGTGCTCCTGCTGGGAACGTGATCGTAGCCCAAACGCTGTGCAGGAAGCAGACATCTGCATCAGTGTTACTCCCAGAAGTGCTTTGGTCGCTCAGTGCCACTGGGAGTTGTTGGACTCAAACACTGCTGTGTCCCAGGGATGAGCCCCCTGCAGTGGGGGCACTGGGGGCTGCAGCACCCAAACCAGCAGGTCTCCATCTCGCAGCCAGACGTGCAGTGGGGGCACACTGCAGCGAACGGGGCGGGCTGTGCTCTGTTCTGGCAGTTCTGTGTATTGTCCTGTGTTCTGGGATTGCTTTGCCTGAAGTTTGGCTCACGGGTAAAACTCTTCTGTGCCCCTTCTCTTGGCAGCCAGCATCCCATCCTGCCCAGCCATCCCCGCAGGCACCCCCGTTCAAGGTGCTGGTGGAGAGGTGCCGCTCGGAGCCGCTGTCGCAGAGCACGCCGATGGGGCTGGACCAGCTGGGCGGGCGCATGCAGCACCTGCTGCGGAGGAGAGGTGAGTACTGTGGGGCTGCCCCTCCTGCCAGAGAGGGCAGGAGGGCTGCGGGAGTCAGGGCTGTGGCTCGTTACACCCCTGGCACCGGGGGAGGGAGCTCCCATAGCCCCTTGCTGAGGAGTTCCTTGCTGGCTAATAAGGTCTCTTTGTACAGTGGGTTTAGGAAGTAAGGCTGCTTTCTGTCTTTATTGTGTCTGAACACAGCTTCTGTAATTTGGTTATGAGAAGATGAGCAGGTAGGCACATAAGGTTCAAGAGCTGTTCAGCAACTTCTGTGTGAGTTTATGTTTGGTAGTTTTCTCTGTCCTCTTAGAGTCCTCTGTCGTGAGTCCTCATCATTTGGAGGTGGTGAGTGGCGATGGGTACTGAGATCACAGCTCAAGTCTCAAATTTGTTTGGAAACACAACAAGAAGAGAGGACTTCTTTCTCCTTTTGTGCTTGGGTATTTTTCTTCATCAAGAAGGGACTCTTATGAGCCAAAGACTGTGATGAGCTGTCCTCTGCATTTGTCCTACTCACGATGCTAGAGAGAGCACCACGGAAAGTGTTTGCTGGCAGGGTCTCGTGTTGGCAGGTAAATCGGCTGATGGTTGAATAGATGACATCATTTTTGAACCTCCTAATTAAAAAGATTGATAATTAGAGTAAGGAGATGATTTCCTGAAGGGATACTGCTGTCATGAAGAATGCTGTGATTTAGCAATGGGCAAGCACGGGAGTGCTGCCAGACCGTGCTGGCATCGCTCGGGAGCACGCCAAGGATCTGAGCCGTTGATGGATGGTGGCAGCACATCAGGGCTGAAACCAACTAGGAAGGACAAGGCAAATCGGCTGCCTCTTGTGTGAATTGCTGGCTGTGCTGTGGGGTGCCCACACGTCTCTACGGGAGCGTCCCGTGCTTGCCGCTGCTCCTGGGTGCCGCTCCCCGGCCCGTGGGTGCTGCAGCCAGAGCAACCTCCTGCTATAATCGGCATCGTGCTGCAGCCTGGCTCTCCCTGAGCCTCCAAAGTGAAGTATGCGTTGCTAAAAATAGCAGCAGGCTGCCTGCATCAGCATCAGTGTTCAGGAAATAGGTCTCAGTGCAATCTCTCTCCCAGCAACGCTGGAAGGAAATCAGGATTGCTGCTCAGCCAGCCTGCAGCAGGGCCCCTGCTCTGCTGCCCCCAGTCCTGGGCACAGCAGAGCCCCAGCCTGTTTGGTTTGGGGGTCTCCCCTCTCCCAAAGCCTGGGACCATTTATCCTGGTCTGAAAGTTCTGCCTGGGTTAGAGGTACACGAAGAAATAGAAATTCAGCACTGTGCATCTTTTAGGGAAGAATTCCAGAATGTAGCTGTTCTCTGCAGATGCCTTTCTCCATGAGAGGGACGAGCAGGCTCCAGGGTTGGGAACACCCGTGGGGGTGTGTGTGCACACATACATGTGCCCTGCCTGGCCCACACGTACCTGTGCTGGCAGCTGCTGGGGGGCAGGTGCTGTGCCCAGCTCTGTGTCCTTCCTTCCAGTGCCTGTGCCTCCAGGCCAGATGGAAGCCTGATGGAAGAAGGGATTAAAATCACTTGCTGATTGTGGGAGGGAAAGACTCTGGTCTCACATAGCCTCACCTCAAAAAGAGAGAGGGATAGGATGGGGAGGTGAAAATTTGGGTTGATTGAAAAAGTAGAGCTCATTTACCTCTCTGCAAGCTGCTTTGTGCCTGGGTACGTGCCATCTGCAGGGCCAGGCTGAGGTTTGGTGTGTGTGGTATTGCTTGCTTAAAGCCAGGGCAGAACTGCATCACTGCATCTGTGAGGGGCTGGCCTGAAACGCTTGGGGTGAGAATTAGCCCAGTTTCCTTAAAAAAACAAGCGTTTTTGGCCTTTTCCATTTTGTTTTCTGTAAATTCGAGGAGCTGTTTCTTCTCCAAGGCCTGGCATCGTACAGACCACAGTGACTGCCCAGCTGGAAATTCTGCAGGTCCTGCTGCAGAGGTGCTGGTGTCAGTGGTGGCCAGGGAGCTGTCGCCCTGTGTGTGCAGATGGGGGTCTCCTGCTTCCTGGAGCTGCTGGGGGAGCATCCTGGCTCCACACCCAGCCTGTCCGACCCCACCTCGGGATGTGGCTCCAGGCTCTGCTCTCTCGTGCCTGTGTTTTTGTAGTATCCAAGCTGCACTATTTCTCTTGCATCCCCAGAGCACTGAATAAAGCACCTAAATATACCCTCTGCTCTCTTTTTCTAAAGGAGAGGTTGAATGAGTCTCTTGCAAACAATTTTGTTTCTTTCATTTAAAAGAACAGCCTCCGCCCCCAGCCTGAGCTAAAGCACAGCATTTATCTTTTGTCATTCCTTTTTTTCCCCCCCTTCCTGTGGATTTTCTCCTGGCAGCTGAGAACGAACAGGCTTCAAAGACTCTGAAGGTGCGCGGGAACTGCAGGAACGGTGGCCGTCGGTGGAACCTCTTCAAGCCTGGAGCTGAGAAGCTGCAGATCAGTAGGGTAAGGTGCAGGGTGGGACGTGCCCCTGCCTGTCTCCAGGGTGGGATTTACCTGCTGTGTGTCCAGCCTGGCACACTAACAATCTGCTTTGCTAACAGCTCCCTCAGGCCAGGGTTCCTCCAGCCACACGCGGGGATTGTTTTGTTATTCGAGTTATTTGGTGGCAGTAAAAGAACAGGTGTATCGTGCTTGCCCCTGAATCAGCTTCCCTTCACTGTGTGTTGGAAGCTTTCTGGTCTGATGGAGGCACTGAGCCTCCACTCCCTGTGGCTGAATGTCCCTTGCAGGTGATGTTCACCTTTAGATCTGCTCCATGGTTTTGCTGGATTTATTTTTTTCCCTTCTCTTTTTAGTTGTGTGTCCTCTGAGTTTGGTACTGCCCCCAGCACCATCTCAGTGACAAATTCACGTCTCTGATTCTTTACCAAAGTGTTTTGCAAATAGAGCCACAGTCCACTTTGTTCTTTTTCTGTGAATGATGCTTCTAGCAGGGGGAGTAAAAGCTGTAGTGGGCCTGGGGCTGTTCACTTCTTTCTCTAGGAAATATTCAGAAAATATTGCAAAACTTGTATCATTTGTCTGATATGTTTCCTTGCTTGGGTGGGGCTTGGTTTTTTTTGTGTGCCATGAGTTTGAGGTCTGGAGACCTTGGCTATTCCATGGTCCTGTTTTGGATGTGTAGTATTTGTGAGTCTGGTTCCACTGGTGCCTAACATATCCCAAACCCAGTAGATTTTCTAGCTTGCAAAGTAGTATAAGGAGAGTTTTCTAGTGAGTATGGCAGAAGAATTTTAGCCCTTTTTGTTCTGCTAGGACAGACAAACACAGGAAGGTCTGGGAGCCAGGAGTTTCCCTGCTGGAATCAAGAGGGGGGACTGACCTGTGGTTGTGTCTGTGGCTCTTTCCCGCCCCACTACTGTCCTTCCTTACCAGACCTTTATTGTGTTAGTTTTCCCTTGGATATCTGATGAACTGCCTTCCTGAAATGAGATTTCCAGGGAGGACCTGGCCTCTGTGCCTATTTTTCCATCACACCAGCAGTAAGTTGGCAATAAATAGGACTGACTTCTCCGTCCTTGGGTTGGGTGTTGGCTTCCAGGGAACACGTGCAGGGATGGACCACTGGTTTTTCAGTCACTTGTGCCTTTCTGGGATGCCATCTTGCATCTTTTCTGATGTTTTCTGATGTTTTCTTTCCTGATTTTTTTGTGGGCTGAGATAAAAGCCAGAGGGACAGATAGACAAGGAGTTCAGCCCTTCCTTTTCTCTCCCTTCCCTTTGGGTCTTACCTTGCTTCTTTCAGCTCAGGAAGGGCTGTCTTGGTTTTAGACAAGCTGAACATCCAAAGCTTGGATCACCTAAGGTCCTGGAAGACAGATTCAAATCCAGTAAAGCTGTTTGTCCTTGGGGCCATGACAGAGGCAGGTGACTGCAGAGCAGTACAACAGTGAAGTATCCCGCTGTACAGTGGAATGTCATCAGGTCTGCTATTTATTAACTGTTTCCATGTTCAGAATCTGGGACTGACCAGTGCATGGATAGATTTGGTCTACTTTAATCACTTTATTAATCTCTGAAGAGGAGCCTTTGCAGCTCTCATAGCTGTCCTTGAGACCCTCCTGGAAGCCAAGGTGCTGTTCTGTTTTGACACAAATTGCTCCTGAATGGTCCATGTCCTGAGCTGTTTCTGGTTGCATGCAGAGCCTGGTATCAGAGACCCTCAGAGAGCCAGTGGAGAACTGAAACCTTGGCAAACCAAAAACCCTGCTGAAGTTTGGGAAGAGTTAGCTAAGAAACTCTGCCTCTCCAGTGGTGGTATCTAGGAAAGATGTAGAGCTGGAAGGGGAAACTCTCACGAGCACAGGGATCTGAGGGTGGTGTTTGGCTCAGACACGGCCACGCCAAAGGTCTGTGCTCCACTGGGACAGAGGACTGGGCTCGGGGAGACTTGTTCAGAGCCACCAGTAGGCAGCTTGTTGCTCAGCCTGAATTATGGCAAACAGGCAGGTGTGAAACCTGTGCTGGGGTTTATAAATCAGGGGTACTGTGCAAGTGCTGCAAGAGCAGGATCTCTAAAAGTGGCTCACAGCAGCAGCGCTGGAAAACTCATATGTCGCCTCTGCCCCAAGCTCAGGGAAGATCTGCAGGTCTGTAAATTATCCCTTTGCCAGAAAGAAATTTTTACTCTGGCAAGATTTATAAATTGGAGGTAAGACTTGTGGGCTTGGCCATGTCTCTTGTCAGGTGCCTTCATTGACAGCTGACACCAGCCAGGTGGCAGAGCTAGTGTAGAAAGGGGTGATTTATACTTGCAAAGCAGAGGCCAGGCTTCTGCAGAAACTGTTCCTTATTCCCTTCTTGGATGGGAGTGTTGGAGGTGGGGGGAGAGCAAGAGGAGACTGGCAAAGCATCAGGCTTGTCTTAGGGGCACCAGGGCATTCCTGGCCCTTGGAGGGTGGTTGTGCCAGAAGAGCACTGGTGCATTGGTATCACTGCAAGGCCTTCAAAACTCCAAAGCTGTTGATGAGCAGCTGCTTTGT